CCAGCTACTTGGGGGCTGGGGCAGAGGGATCATTTGAGCCCCAGAATTTTTGGCTGCTGTGAGTTAAGCTGATGTCACGGCACTCACCCAGGTGACAGAACGAGATGCTGTCTAAATAAATAAATTAATTAATAAATCAAACAAACAGGATCTAAGGCCATGCAAGGCAAAGGTTAAGTCACACCTACAAGTCATCAATTTGCTTAACAGATCACTTTGAATCCTATATTGTGGCTTGCTCTACAATTAGCAGCTTTTCTTAACTTAAACTTTTTCTTTCTACTGACTTCAAGCCTTTAGACAAAACTTTATTCCTTTAACCAATTACAAATTAAAAAATCTCTGAATCCACCTATAATCTGTAACCACTCCAACACACACACACACACACACACAAGGTGTGCTGCCTTTTGGGGCCAAACCAATGTATATCTTCCAAGTACTGATTTATGATTTTACCTGCAATTCCTGTCTTTCCCAAAATGTATAATACCAAACTGTAACCCAACTGCTTTGTGCTCACTTTCTCAGGACCTCCTGAGATTGTTACCCTGGGCCACAGTCACTCATTGGCTCAGAATAAGCCTTTTTAAATTAATTTACAGAGTTTTGGTTTTTTCCATTAACAGAGTCAGCAGGAAACAAGGCAAGTAAAAGTCCTTGCCCTCTTGAAGCTTACTTCTAGATGGACAAAACAAACAAATAAATAAACATACATACATTTACATATGTATATATGTTTATATTATACATGTACATATGAAGTATGTGAGAGGTGATATATGACACAGAGAAAAAGAAAGCAGGAAAGGGAGACAAGGGGCCGGGGTGTCAATTTTAAAAGAGCCATCAGGTAACAGGCAAAAATATGAAGGATGAGAAGAAGCAAACCTCAAGGTCATTGGCAGGAAAAAGGTTTCCTAGCATGTTCAACGAACACGAAGCCTAATGTGGTTGGAGTCAGGCAAACAAGAGGGAGAAGGAAGTGAGAGAAGCTATGCAGGACTTCAGTGTTTATTCTGAATAAGATAAGAAGCTGCTAAGAGGGTTCTGAACAGACTAAGCACAGAATATACTATACGCGTTTAACAGGCTCACTGACTGCTGTGTTGACGAGACTGGAGGAGGGCAAGGGCAGTGGCAGACAGTCCCGTCAGCAGACTGCTAAAATAATCTGGCTTGGAGATCTGTCTGTGGTTTGGGCCGGGGTGGCTATCCTGGCAGTGGTAAGAAGTGGTCAGATTATTAGATCCTGAAGGCAAAGTCAAGGGCATCATTTGCTGACAGACAGGATGTGGTTTGTGAGAGAAAGTGACATGTCACAAAAGACTAGTATTTTCGGCCTGAATAAGTGAGGGGTGGGTTTGCCATTAACTGAGATGGGAAAACTTTGGGAGGGGTAGGGGGGGCATTTCTGGACTGTTAAGTTGAAGATGTCTGTCAAGTAGGCAAATACGGATGAACCTAACATTCTCTCTTGACATATAGATGAAATTCAGAAGGTAGTGAATATAGCACATAAACAGGAGGGAACAGGTCCATGCACTAAGCCCAGGGACACTTTAAGATATAAAGAGAACCCTATAAGGAGAGAAGAAAATAAGTAGAGTGCAATGTTCTAGAAGTAGAAAAAGTGCTTCAAGGAGGAAGGAGCGATCAACTATGTCAAATAAAACAGGAACTTTGAACTGACCACTGGATTGAAGCAGGGTGAGCTTAGACAAAAGGAATTTCAATGGAGGGGTGAGAAGTAAAAGCCTAACTGGGGAGGGTTCAAGGAAGAATAGAGGACCTGGAGTATAAATAGCCTTTTAAAGGAATTTTACCATTAAGGGAAACATAGAAATGGGGTGGTAGCTTAGAGTAGAAGAGGGAACTAGAGAGAACATTATAAGATGGAGAATTAACACAGTGGTTAAAAAAACAGGCTCTATTCCACTTCAGGGAGAGGAGGCACATCTCTCCACTCCTTAAGTGGGGACTACACATAGTGACTTCCTTCCAAAGAGTACAGTATGAAAAGGGGGGAACTCAAGTAATTTTACAGTGTAGATATCTGACAGACACTATCTCAGGCATGGTTAACATCAACCGTGACAATTCATGTAAATACTATGTACCGTTGATATGATGTGATGAAAATGGCACTTCACCTCTATGGTCTTCCTCCCAAAAATACATAACCTCAGTCTGATCATGAGAAAAACATTAGACAAATACCAGTTGAGGAACATTCTACAAAATAATAGACAAGTACTAACCAGTATTCCTCAAAACTTCGGGGACATTAAAAACAAGAAAAGTCTCAGAAACTATTGAAACCATACTTTATAAAGTAATAAAGAGGAGTAAGGTGAAAACTATGATAGAGACCTAAACTCTGCAAAGGCACATGCATAGTTAAAAATAATAACTGAGTGCAGAGTGAATGCAAAGGATGCAGAATATATGGGAACTCTTCATACAATCTTCTAAATTTTTCTGTGAAGTTAAAATTGTTCTAAAAGATAAAGTGTACTTAAAATTTAAAAATAAAGAAAAAAAGAATACAGGCTCTGGAGTCTTACCATCTGGTACCATCTTACCAATCCTTGTCTGCCATTTAATAGACTGTGACTCCAGGCAAATTACTTAGATTCTCTGAGAATCAGTTTCTCTATCTACAAAATGGAAATAGGAAAAATACCTACCTCATGAATTTTTATTATAAGTAAATGAGATAATCCAGGTAAAACATGTACAGCACAGTGTCTGGCCAACAGTAAGCATTCAATAGGTGGCAGCTTTATTATTATTATTATTATTACTACTATTATTTTAAATCTTTATTGAATATTCAAATACACATTTAATATGATTTTCCATTTAACTTGTTTTACAGTAATTAATAATAATTTATATGATAATTTCCTTTCCTTTTTTAAGAGGAAGAAAATTGAAGCCTATTATACAGTATCTGTAAAAAGGATTTCTCTCTCAGTGTATTATAAGTGTTGAGAGGTTTTACGGTGTCAGCTGCTCTAAGCAATTTAATTTAAATAGCAATCTATGGTAATGAAATGAAATGAGTTGTCGCTGAAGGTTCTGTATGTACATTATCATGTCTGTAAGGTAAATAACATTTTCCAACTTGCGCTCGTTGAGCTTCACTATCAAGCCATATAAAGTCATCAATGTTAACCAGAGAATATATTATCTTGTAACTATAGTATTTTTAATAACAATGCTTGACAACAGTGATTTGAAGAATATATAAGTGATGGCTTCCAAATCAGGCTGTGCATCAGTCATTTGTGGGGTTTGGCAAAAAAAGAGATTAGAAAAAAATAAAATCTAACCTACTAAACCAGCAGCTCTATGAGTGGTGCCTGGGCACTGCATATTTAAAAGACTGCACAAGGGACTTCAGTTTGTGAAGAACTGATTTATATTATCCTGTACACACTGACCATGTCATATAGGCTGCTATACGATCTGCCTTTGTCTGAGCTGCACGTGCCTGAGCTGCCACTTCAGTTGTGTAAACTTTGGCAAGTTACTTAACCAATTTGTACCACAGTTTCCTCACCTGTTAAAACACTGGTGATGATAACAGCACCTGACTCATAGCGTGATTAGAGGGTTATGTCAGACAACTCATGTAAAGCATGAATACTTAGATTTCAACGCTATGAAGAGAGAGAGAGAAAGAATATCCAACACTGGGCTGGACTTCCTGAAAAGTAGCAGTCACCAGGGACTGAGTGCTGATTTTCCTTTTAGATGAGGCATGTTCTTCCATTTTCATAGTCTCTTACCTGCTTCACTCATTTATGACATCAACCTGGCCTCATTAACTACCTGGGGATTGGATTAAAAACATTTTTCTTTCACAAATTCAGTAACTGTAGGAAATCTATGGGTATAAACACTGCCCATGCCATGATCAACCTCAAAAAGATTTGGTGGGCAAGAGATCTTATCCCTCAAATGCATATTGCAAATCTCTGTATTTTCTAGAAATTAGGGTCAAATACCCTTTTCAGAGATTTTTATTTAAGAGCTATAATTTAAAATTACAGAGTTTAAAAAGATATAAACAATTTTTACATAATTAGAAGCCCAGTGCCACAATCCCAGAAAGTGTGACCATATTGTTCATTAGCAACGAAGAAAATTTTCTCATAGGTCTTCTGCTATTCTTGGTACGAAAAATCACTATTTCAGGTCATTAAAGCTAAGGTATTTTGATATGTCATTTTCAATGAACATTAAATGTGTCATAATGGAGTACCAAATCTAACTAAAAACACCGGAACTTAACAAAACAAAGATTTTTGTCTGAATTATTTCTGATAACACTTCCAATAGGCAGTTGCTCAACTTTCCAATGTCTACATAAAATGCAATTTTGAAGCCAATTTTCTAGATTAAAATAAAAAGCCATTCTTTAGCATAAATCTTCATACCATTAACTTGAGCAAATAAACAAGATATGTATATATAATATGTACAAAACTAGGAGCCAGGCTAATCACAAGTAGTATTTTACTTTAGCACTTAATTAATTTTACTTTAGCACTTAATTAATTTGAAATTAATTAAGTTAGGGATGCACTGAAAACACCAAAGGATCAATATCTTGAAGTTCTAAACAAGTTTTAATGTGAAAATTGTATTCTGGCGTGATTTTGCAATCACAAGACATCCTATATTGCGAACCGAGAAAGGCCAGAATCGTTTACAAATATACGATGCTTTCACGCGAGTTGTCTGTCTTTCCCAAGCCGCCACTCACTTGATGCAGCGATACCCAAAGTTTCTTCGAAAAAGAAGGGGGAGCTAGTGTCTGGGTCTCAGGGTGTCTTGGAGAAGAAGGGGCGGATTCCCCCATGGGAACCTCGTGGAGGCCGCGCCAGCCCCAGCTGCCCAGGGCGGCGCCGAGTGCGCCCGAGCGCCGGGACCCCCGCCACCCCTGTCCCGCCCGCCCGCGCCGCGCGTCCTCCGCGGGCCGCACTCACCCAGGCCGCGCCAGCCCAGCGCGCCGTCGCAGCTGTCCAGGACGGCGCACAGCTCGCCCAGCAGCGTGGGCGGCAGGTCGAACAGGAGCGTGTGCGCCGAGAGCGCGCCGCGGGCCCCGCCGCTGCCCGCCATGGCGCGGCCGCCGGAGCGCGGGGACGACAGGGCAGAGGGGGATGCGCAGCGCAGGCCTCAGCGCCCGCGAGGGGCCGTTACATAACCGCGGAAATCCTGCCGCCCCGACGGCTGCCAAGACCTCGGAACACGCCCGTCCTCGGGCCCTGAAGGGCGGCGCCCGCATGACGCAGAGCCGCTCTCCAGAGAGGCCCCCGCGGACAGCCGGGGTCTCCCCGCCGCGGGCTCCCTCTTGCTCGCGCGCTTTCTGCCCTCAACAGTCCCCTCGGCCCTCTGGGTTCCGGACGCGGCTGAAGAGACCAAGCAGAGAGTGAGCGCCAACGCATGGATCCATCTCCTTCAAAAGTTTAGTTCGTTTTATCCTGTCAGAAATGAGACACAGGTTCATTGAGGAACGCTTGGAAAACCCAGAAAAACTGAAAGAAGAACATTAATCACTCATAACCCCATTCAGTCGACGACAACCACTCTAAACGTTTTGGCACATTTTCCTCCCAAGTTTTACTGAATTGAAACGGATGAAAATGTGCATATATGCAGTGATTACTTGAAAAGATAAACATAGATACCAACAACAGGAAAGCAAAAAAAAAAAAAAAAGAGAGAGAGACCAAATGGGAGTAAAATTATGTACATCGTCTTCACGAGGAGGCCCCTCCTCCATGCCGTTGTTTGATTTACTTTCTCCGATCCGTGGGCTTTTCTGATGAAACATTGTTGGACCAATTCTTCCTTCCTCAAAACGCTTCACAGAGTCTCCCTTTTGCTTTCAACACAGAGTTTAAATTGTTTTGAAGTCTTCTACCGGTTTATACGTTAATATCCCACCGTAGGCGTGATACAAATGCTACTGTCAAAAGAGGGGATGCTTTGAAAGTGGTGAGAAAAGTCTCAACCCTAATTAGTGACTGGAAGAGTGGACAGTGGCCCTCAGCTGGAAAATGCCAGCACCTATTTGAAACCAACCGCGCGGGTTGTAGTCTTTGAGAACAGCGCCCCCTGGAGACCACCGGTGATGACACGCTGTCACTTTAGAACCACTGCCTGAATTTCCGCGCCATTCTCAGTCCTCCATAAAAACATCCCTCAAAATCGGTAAAGCCAATACTGTTTGGGCACCAGTTTCGATACCCCTTGGTTGAAATGACTGAGGTTTGATTGTCAGTCTGTACAAGCGTACGAAGCTTTGTATCTCTTAACGGGACTGCCTGAATAAGCTGAGCGACAGAGGCAAGATGCCGTTGAGTGTTTGCTAGTTCTTAAATTCCTGCAGCACGAGAGGAAATGGGCAGAGGAACCAGGAAAATCTCTGTGGATGAGCAAAGCGGTCAGAAAGGCCTACTTTGCTAGATCTTTTAATTTACCATGAAGCAAGGATCTTATGTGAGAGCTAGATTTTGTGAAATCTGTATTTTCAGTGTTGGCAGTTGTTATCAGACGGTTCCTAAAACTGCCTTTGAGTTTTGGATCACCAGGTTACTCACTACTCTTCACTGTTGTTGTCATCATCCACTGTTCTCCCCCATCCCCATTCCTCCTACTCAGTTTTAGGCTCTCTAGCTCCTGGCTCACTGTCACTCTCTCCACTACTCATCCTATCTTAGTTCTTGGTGATTTAAAATATATGTAGAATAAATGATTTACTTTCTAATACCTTAGACTCTCGGTTCCTTGACTCCCACCATCATCCCCTAAAACTTTATCATTATCAATAACTGAATCCTGTCCATAATTTGTATTTCTTGAATCCACTGTCTGACCAAACCTCCTGTCTTCTAGCACATTCCCTATAGTACTATGACCCCAACAGTCCTTCCTCCTCACCAGGATATCTAATCCAAGATATTGCTGCTGCTTCTCTGGCTCCATCCTCTTGATGTCCTCACTTTTCTCCTTATCTGTAAAGTCCACAGTCAATTATTATACTCACTCCCTTGCACATGCTCTCTATTCACTTGCTTCTCTCTCACTTTGTTGAACTCTCTTGGCAAATATATCATCCTGATTAAATCCAATTTTCCAATTTTTGGATCTGCACCCCTGCACATGAGTGTAGCTGGGGGGAAAACTCCCAAATCCTGTTAATTGAACTCAATTTAACATCAAGGCCATGACTTTCAGTTGGGTCCTTTATGCTGCCAAGTGAGCATACTATACATCGTTAGTCCATTTATTCTGGGCTCCTTGAAAACTATGTTATGCTTTCTCTTTTCTTCTCAACTCCCATCATCTTCTCCCCCATCCTCATGCTTTGCTGATGAACTTGAGAATATTTATTGAGAATACTGATGCATCAGGAAAAACTTCCATAGAATCTTACTACCACATTGCCTTATCTATAGCATCTGTACCAACATACACTCTTTTCCCTTTTTCCATAGATGAATTGTCTAGGCTCCTGTCTCAGTCTGATCCCTTCACTTGTGTACTGGGTCCTATCTCCTGCCCCCTATTCAAAGGCATCAGGAGCACCTGTTATCCCTGCTCTCTGCTACATTGTCCATTTTCCACTCTTTAGTGGCTCAGTTCCATTAGTGTACAAATATGATGTTATTACTTCCACCTTAAAACAAGCAAAAATTATTTGATGCCACTTCTCCCCTTCCATCTACCACCCCAATTCTTTGCTCCCCTTTGCAGTAAAGAGTTGAATAGTCTCACTGTCTCTAGTTTTCTACTTTCTTCTCTTAATTTCACTCTAATTAGAACCACCCCTACCACCTTACTCCATTAAAACTGCTCTCTTCAGGGTCACCCATGTCCACATCATTGTTAAATAAAATAGTCAATATTCAGTCTTCATCCTACTTGACCTGTTGGTAGTTATTGACTGGGTTGATCACTCCCTCCTTGTTGGACACTTTCTTCATTTGACTTCTAAGACACCACGTTCTCTTACATTTTTCACTTACCTCTCTGGTCACTCCTCAAATTCCTCTGCTGTTCCTGCTCTTCTCCCTGAACTCTTAATGTTGCAGTGCTCCAACATTAACATTTCTCCAGGGCTCAATCCATTGTTCTTTATCTATACCTGCTGCCTTGGTGATCTAAATCAGTCAAGATTTGAAATACCATCTATATCTACAGACTACCAAATTTATATGTCTAGCCCAGACTTCTTTCTTGAATTTGAGAGTCCTGTCCAAAATTGAATTCTTGATCATGCCTCTTGAACCTGCTCTTCCCACATTCCTACCTGCCTAGGTTAACAGCAACTCCATCCTTCTAGTAGCTTAAACTAAAAATATACAGTCATCCTTGACTTCTCTGTTTCTTCACAGTCCACATTCAATCTGCCAGAAAATCCTGTTGGATCTGTTCAGAATATGTCTAGAATCTGACCAATTTTCCCACCTTCACTGCCGCCATTCTGGTTTGAGCCACTATCATATCTTGTCTGGATCACTATAGTAGCCTCCTAACTAAAAGTAGCTTCCACTCTTGCTTCCTGCAGATTTTCCTCAACACTGCAGCCAAATTGATCCTTTTAAATCATATCTGAGTATGTCTCTCTTCTGTTTAGAAGCCAGAAATGGCTCCTAGTTTCAGTTAATAAAAATCAAACTCTTTATATGATCTGCATTCTACCTCCTTTTTCCTCTCCACCCCTTTACCCTCTGATCTTGTTTCCTGTTCATTCTGCTTTAGTTACACTATCTCCTTGCTGGTCCTTGGACACACCAGGGAGAATTCCACAGTGGAAGCTTTGCACTTGCTCTTCACTCTCCTGGTATGCTCTTCCCACATGGCTAACGTCTACTCTGACTTCCATATTTAACATGCAGTGGTCCATGCACTCAGATTTGGGCTGGGATGTGACTCAAATTGGCCCAATAATATATGGCTTAGGGGAATCATGTCTCATTCAGATAATGCTCTTTAATATTTAAATAGGAAATTGTAGCAGCTCTGGCCATCTCTGAGAACCATTTTACAACCATATAGAGATCAATATAAAAATGAAACGAGCCCTTGGAGTAGTTTAACGAGAGGAAGAACCAGGTCCTTGATAACGTCATTGAGCAGTTCATTTGTTCTATACCTGGAGCTTGTCCTGCTTGTGGACACATAATTATATGTGGGATAAACTTCGTTTTTAAGCGAGGATTCTTGTTATTTGCAGCCAAATGCATCCTAGCTGACACAGTAAGCAGGCATTTGGTAATACTCTTTGACTTGTTGAGTGCCTGTGAAACCTGTGAAAAACAACTAAACCCTTTCTAAAGCTGGAGTTCAAATGTATACAACTATATCTTGTGGGCATGGAGATTGGATTGCAGATAGAGACAACTGAGCCCTTGAGAAAAAAATAAATATTGGTAGAGAATGATTCCGGCAACATAGGTGGAAACAGCCTGAAGTTCTAGATGTATGTGAAACTGTAATAGAATCCATATAGACCCAGACCCTTAAACCCCAACATACCTACCCACTTCCAGCATGCATGTTTTCTGGAAAAGAGAGGGCTATGGTTAAATCACAAAACTGTTCCACTATGTGACCTAGCGCTTTGCTGTGGGATCCTCTCCAAACTTCCCTAAGTTCTGGGAAGAAGATTGTGTTTCTGTCCCAGCTGGAAAGAATAGAGTAGTGAACCACAAATATTAACAAGTGAAAGTGAAGGAAACCCTGAGGGTTGGTGACAACGGCACAAATACACGGTAATATCAGTGACCAAGCCCTAGCTAAGCACAGGCACCAAAGCCTCAGAAATCTAGAAACAGGCAAGGGAGAAAACAGGTGTGGCAAACAACAGCTCTTATATATGTGAGATAATTATCTTGGTAGTAGCTATTGATACAGCATCACTTAGGGTGAATATTCAAAGGACACCCAGGCCTGTGGGACCTAGAATATTTTCTGATTTTAGAAGTAATTTTCAAAACAAAGATTACTGACATATCCCACCTTTGAGCCTCTTCCCATCTTTGAGCCTTACATTAGAGGGTCTTGTATACTTTGGGGTTCAGGGATAAAGATCAGGAATGGGGTGAAGACATTTGTAATACTCATTACTTGGAAATGAAGGTTGAACGGGGTCTTAAGCTTTCACCAAAATGACATAATGTACTAATTATTCCTCCAGTTTATATGTGTGTATATACATATTATATACACAGAAATTATATACACATTTATATATACATAAAAAATACAGTATTTCTAAAGAACATTAGGTGTGTTATAACTCAACTGTTTCCTATTTAATATGTCAAAAACATTTTTTAAAAATCTATTATTTCATAACATGATATAACTAAAACTTTTAACCATTTTTCTTTGAGGATTGATAGAAAGGATCATTTGAAATTTCATTTTCTTACTTGTACTTTTTATGTTTTCAAAACTTTCTACAGTTAACATGTAGGGTCTCCGTGATCAGAAAACCCTCAACTATAGGAAAGAAATTTTTTTCAACACTTTCATCGTTGATCTCATTTGATTATTTTCTTTCTTAATCATTTTCATGGCACTATTCAGCTCTGAGTGCATTGCTATAACTTTTGCCTTGTCACCACCGACTCTTAAATGTCACATTTGTATAATTGAATAGCTTTCAGCCAAAGGCTTTTAATGATAATTTCAACATTAGCTAAAGTTCTATTTTTGAAG